TTATTGGTTTTAAGACTATATTTTTTGCCTTTTGGAATACTGTATTCCAAGATTCCCTAGATCAGGGGTTCTTAGCCTCTCTGTGTGGGTTATGGATCCATGACAGTCTGGTGAAGCCTATACATCCCTTCTTGGAATATTTTTAGGTGAATATTTTTATTATTTTTTTAAAGAACAATATTGCAGATTTTAATCCTCTTTTAGATGTACACTTATTGTTCTTAAGTAATAAAATGAAGTTTGAACAGTACAGTCCGTGGTGTTGAAACATCAGCAACAGCAAGCTCTTGTCCATCCACAAGGCCCACCTCTTTGAATGTCTTAGAAAGACGTGGCCTCCTTCATTCTTCAGTGGAAGGTATTGTTTATGAGTAAAGCATTCTGTTCTTTCTTCTAATGTGGCTGTGGTGAATAAAATTCCAGTGTACATTCAGTATAGTCTGTCATTCCAGGTGGAATTACCCTAGGATTTCCTTTAAAACCTTTTGTTCCTTCATCTATCAAAGGAATAATGGAACTTGCATCTGATACTCCATCTTCATAATTTAGAAGAAATATCAGCATGCCATTTATCCAATGGCTTCTAGCAATAATGGAGTGCAGACCACATACAATGGTAGGAAATTGTCTATAGAAAATATCATCAAAATTTAGAATCTTGTTGAAATGTGGCACTACAGTGCAATTAGGGATTAGGAATTCTGTAGCAACTTCAGCTTTGGGTCTTCTGACATCCTTAAGCCTAAACAAAAATTGCCTATTTCAGTTGGAAACATGATGTCCATGTCTATTACATGAATTTGTCTAAAACCAAACAATGTCAGATTTTTCAGGAGTTCACATCCTAATCCTCCTGCTCTAATGACCAGCACTTTACAAGTATCTAACAAAAACCAAAGAGATCCAGTGCTTGGTTCAAAATCAGCATGCATGAATGGTCCAGATTACTCCAGGAACTTCTTTACATGGTTCCAGCGACTGTCCCTGTTTCCAGTGCCCCACACCCACCATCAACAGCCAAATAGCCTTCTTTGTGGTTTCCCCAGCAATTCTTGTCAAATAGGGAGTTCCTTTCTAGGTAATTTATATTTTGAGATTTATATAATGCTGAATTTTTGGGTTCAATTATTTCAGATTCTGCATTATTTAGTTTCATCCACTGATTTTTTTTTCTATTTTTAAACCAATACTAGATAGTTTTAATGACTACTGCTTTGTAAAATAGTTTGAGGTCTAGAAGAGCCCCTTCATTCCTGTCTTTTCCCACACTTATAAAGAGATACACGGAACACACACATCTTTACAGTAGTTTAATACCTGTTATCAATCTCTTTTTTAACCACTAACGTCAATTATTTAAAAAAAAAAAACCTTTATACTTTCTCACTCCCTGATGTCACTCCAAATTTGCATTTAATAGCTATAAGCCCATTAATCAAGTCTATCCTGTTGTTCATTGGGCTGGGCCTTACAGCCAGAAAGATCTGGGTTTAAGTTCACCCTTTGACCCATATTGGCTATGCAACCCTGAACAAGTCTCTAAACCTCTCAGTGCCCTAGGGAACTTTCTAAAACTAAGTTTCCTAGACAAGGTACCAATCTGCATTACTACAAGAAATATCTTCATCTGGCGGTTCCTTACGCCAGTGAAATCACAGGTACAGCTCCTATCTCTCATCCACCTCATAAGGGATGATTCTGTGATTTAATCCTTAGGAGCAGAAGAATTGGTTTGATAATTTTTAATTCAGGAAATGCAAGAAGTCAGTCAAGCTAATCCTGAGGCTCTGCCGAAAAAAAAAAAACCAACCAACACAAATAAATAAATAAATAATTGTAATTCCTGGAGACAGGAACTGCTTTATTTTTCCTTATAGCTCTTGCAGTGCCTTGGACTGTGCAATGAATGTAGTATGTAGCTAACAAGTGTTTGTGGAATGCAAGAATGAATTAATGTACTATATTACAACATCTTTCAGTGGGAAATGAGTTGGGCTGATCAATATTTAAAGAGAAAAGTGGAGGTGATGCTATCATGACACGCCTAAAAAGAGTCGTCCCCTGCTCTTGGTCAGAATTCACACGCCTGCCTTCTTCCCTTGCTCCTGAAAGCTTGTTCCCACCCTGACTGCTTCATGAATCAAGTGGCAAAGCAGAACAACAATGAGAGAAGAAAGGATGTCGTTTTTTAATTTCAGGAAAGAAATGCAACAATTTCCGTCCCCAAAAGATTTACAGAATTTGAGAATGTCAGCGCTGAAAAGAACAAACACCCTTATTTTATCGAGGAGACAATTTAAGCTGGGGGGTGGAGTAGTGAAAGGGACTTACCCAAAGTAGATCTCAGCTCTACTGAATACCAGTTTAGTCTTCTTTACTTTATATTTGTCCATTCTTCCCACTGGGAAGGCATCTGGGTCACCAGGAATCTGTCACTATCATTCTTGGGATATAAACGGAGAATTAAATGTCCAATATCTGTGATTCTGCTATCCAAGGTATTTCTTCCATTTACCAGATTAAAGAGAAGGGACATCGAAGAACCTTGGTTCATATCCTACTTATAAAGCTTAAAGCAAATCCTTTAACTTCCATGGACCTCTATTTCCTCATTTGTGGAGTAAGAAAGAAGTATGAGGCATCCAAGTGGTGCAAAGGATAGAGCAGTGGGCCTGGACTCAGGAAGACCTGACTTCAAATCTGGCCTGAGATGCTTATTAGTTGTGTGACCTTGGGCAAGTTACTTAAGGGTTATCTGCCAGTTTCCTCAACTGTAAAATGGGGGTAATAATAGAACCTACTTCCCAGTGAGATATTTGTAAAGTGCTTGGCACATAGTAGGCACTTAATAAATGCTAGCTATTCTAAGAATGTAGGGGTTGGACCAGATGGTCTCTGAGGTCCCTTCATGCTCCTGATCTATAACCTATGTATTAAGCATATATTATTTGCAAATCACAATGTAATCACAGGTCTGGTAAAATAAATAAATACAGAAATGAAAAGCAAACGCTACAAAACTTCTCCACGTATCATAACCAGATCATAATCACTACAGACAGGCTGTCAGGAACAAGACATTCCATCTTTCAGCTCTGGGCATTCTCTCTGCCGGTCCTCCCGGTTCTGGCATTCTCTTCCTCATCTGCTCTGACTACTGAGCCCCACCCCCCTTTCTTCAAGCCCCAACTAAACCCCACATTCTACAGGAAACTTTCCTCTGTCCCTTTTAATTCCTGAGTCTTCCTTCTGTTAATTATTTTTACTTAATCCTGTACATAGCTTGCTTTGTATATATGTTCTCACGTTGTTTCCCCCATTAGATTGTAAGCTCCCTGAGGACAGGGACTGTCTTTTGCCCCTTTTTGTATCCCCAGCGCTTAGCACAGTGCCTAGCACACGGTGGGTGTTTAATAAATATTGACTAACCATTCCCCAATTGATAAATGGTCAAAGGATATGAACAGGAAGTTTTGAGATAAAGAAATTAAAGCTATCTATAGTCACATGAAAAAATGCTCTAAATCACTATTGATTAGAGAAATGCAAATCAAAACAACTTTGAGGTACCATATCACACCTATCAGGTTGGCTAACATGACAAAACAGGAAAATGATAAACGTTTTAGAAGATGTAGGATAATTGAAACATTAATACATTGTTGGTGGAGTTGTGAATTGATCCAACCATTTTGGAGAGCAATTTGGAACCATGCCCTTGGATCCAGCAATAGCACTTCTAGGGTTGTATCCCAAAAAGATCATAAAAACAGGAAAAGGACCCACATGTACAAAAATATTTACAGTAGCTCTTTCTGTTGTGACAAAGAATCAGAAATTGAGAGGATGCCCATCAATTGCGGAATGGCTGAACAAGTTGTGGTATACAAATGTGATGGAATACTATTATGCTTAAAGAAATGACAAGCAGGCCTACTTCAGAAAAACCTGGAAACACTTGTATGGAGATGCTGAGTGAAGCGAGCAGAACCAAGAGAACGCTGTACACAGTAACAGCCACGTTGTTCGATGACTAATGTTGATAGACTTAACCCTTCTCAGCAATACAAGGATCTAAGACATCTCCAAAGGTCTCATGATGGAAAATGCTGTCCACATCCAGAGAAGGAACTATGCAGTTGGAATGCAGATCGAAGCATACTATTTGCTATTTTTTTTCTGTTTTGTTTTGTTTCTTCTTTCTTTTTTTGTTCCTCTTATTGGTTCTAATTCTTCTTTACAACATGACTAGAGTGAAAATATGTTTAATAGGAATGTCTGTGTAGAGCCTATATCAGATTGCATGCCATGGTGGGGGAAGAGAAAATTCTAAACTCAAAAGTTTATGGAAGTCAATGTTGAAAACTAAAAATAAATTAATAATAAAAAAATAAATATTGACTAACCCTAACCCTAAATTCTAGTCCTAACCCTAAAACTCTCAGTCACATCGACCCCCTCCTCATATCTGGAGGCGCGATATACTACTAGTATTACGGTAGCCAAAAGGCTGGGATTAAGTTTCGCTCAATTAAAACTTAAAAGAGAATGCGGGTAGCCGTAATAAGTCACACCTGTCGGAGGCCACCAGCCTCTGTGGTAACGTATGCTCGAAGCGGTTAGGCCGGTCAAACAGACCAGTGCATGGCCAGTCTAAATATGGCTGACGTCCATAGACTGGACCCACGTTACAGCCAGTCGCGCCAGGCGCATGCGCCGAGAAGTCGCGCGTCCCGTAAACCCCACGCCCGCCCGCCCAGAGTTCATCTCTCTTCCGTTCCTAGCAACCGCCCACTCGAACCCGAGCAACCTGGCCACCTGAGGGGGCCGGCGGAACGCCCGAGGTCTATCTTTCGATCCAAGCCTATTGGCTGGGAGAACCCGGAGTGGGCCGGTACCGAAGATGATTGGCCAGGACGCGAGCGGCTGCTGCCGAACCATCCAATGGCGTCGGAGCGCGTGAGCGAAGGGGGCGGGGCCTGCCCGGTGTGTGAGCCGCCCAGTCGCTTAGGGCTCGGGCATGAGCTGGCGGTGCTGGCCCTGAGTGGACTGTGTCCGGCTGGCTGTCAGAAGTACGGGGTTCGGGGTTCGGTTTGGGCCATGGCCGCCGAGAAGCCGCTCGTCTCCATCACTTGCACCGCCCCCACCAACATCGCGGTCATCAAGTACTGTGAGTGGGGGAGGAGGCGCCGGAGCAGGGGAGGGGGAGTCCAGGGAAACGTTCCCCCCCGGACGCTGGGCTCCGAGTTTCGGGTTCCGGAGGTATTTGGGTCCGGGTGACTGACTCTGGAGCTGGAAGGAACCTAGAAGCCATCCAGACCAGACGCTCTCAGCCCGAGAGCTGTGCTCTGGGATGGGGGAGGGAAGGACATCTTTAGTTCAATAACAGAATGTTAATATTTGATTAAAGTATTGTTAATATAAAATAGCATGTCAATAATGTAATAACCCCAGGCACACAAAACAGTATTTATGTTAATAATAAATAATACTTAAAATAATATTTTAAATAATACTTAAGAATAAAAATAATAAATAATATGCACCTAAAAACATTCCAAGAAGGAGTGCATAGGCTTCACCAGACTGTCAGAGGTCCATGACACTCAGGGAGGCTAAGAACCCCAGATCTAGCCCAGCCCCTTCATTTTGCAAAGGAAACTGAGGCTCAGAGAGAGCGGATGACTTGCCCAGCGATCGCATAGCTAATTAAGTAGTACCAGGGGGTTCAAACCCAGGTTCTCGTATTCCATCTCCAAGGAAGGTACTTCTCAGTGGTGACTTTCCTGAAACATAAGTCCCGTCATGTCACCCCCTTAACTGAGTAAACTTCAATGACTCCCTATTGCCTCCAGGATCAAAGGCAGAATCCTCAAAATGGAAATGATCGTGATTTCACAACCAGCTTCACAGAGCTGTTGGGCCGGTAGTGGAAAAACCCTGGACTTGAAATCAGAAAAACTTGGTTTTGATTCCAGGCTCTACCTGTTCGAGTGATGTTTAAAAAAAAAAAATAAAATGGACAGAGCACCGGCCCAGGATTCAGAACGACCTGAGTTCACCTCTGGCCGCAGACACATCACACTTACTAGCTGTGTGACCCTGGGCAAGTCACTTAACCCCATTGCCTAGCCAAAAAAAAAAAAAAGACCCTCAATCTCCTAAGGCCTATAAAATGAAGGAATGACCAGGGAAGATGATATTTAAGATCCAGTCCACTTCTGACAATCTGATTTTTCTTTGAGGAAAGTGCTTTGTAGGTCTTAATGCATTCTGTGCATGTCAGCTTTATTTACTTGTAAGCTCCTATGAAGGTCTGCGCTGTGGTTTTACACATCTTTTTTTTTTTTTTTAAATCTTAGTGTTTGGCACAGAGGAGATGTTCATGAAGTATTTGTTGAATGTGTGATGCCAGGAAGCTAGGAAGACAAAGATATTCTGTAGAATTCTATCTTTTCTAGTCCTGTCCTTTCAAGAGTTTACACTAATTCATACATTGATCCTCAAATGCCAGGAAAGCCCTATTCTGCCGTGCCTCCTTGTGACTTGGAGATAAGCCTGACTTCTGGAATGCTGTATCAGTAGATTAGGAGCATTTTCACTGCCTGTCCCCCTTACCTGGAATTTTCTCCTTCCTCATCTCTGCCTCTTGCCCTCTTTGGCTTCCTTCAAGTCACAAGCAAAATCTCATCCCTCACAGGAAACCTTTTCCCATCCCCTTTAATTCTAGTGCTTTCTCTCTGTTAATTTCCAGTTTCTCCTGTCTATTGTTTGTTTGTAGGTAGTCATTTGCGTACTGTCTTCCCATTAAACTGTGAGCACCTGAAGGGCAGGGACTGCCTTTTACCTTTCTTGGTATCCCTGTTGCTTATAGCGCAGTACCTGGCACATAGTGTGTACTTGGGCAGCTGGTGGTGCAGTGGTTAGAGCACTGGGCCTGGCATCAGGAGGTCCTGAGTTCAAATCCATCCTCAGATACTCACTAGTTCTGTGACCCTGGGCAAGTCACTTAACTTCTGTTTGCTGCCGTTTCCTCATCTGTAAAAGCTGAGATGATAACAGTGTAACAGATAATAACAGGGTTGTTGTGACGAGCAAATAAGGTAGTATTTGTAAAGCACTTAGCACAGTGCCTGGTACATAGTAGCTACTATTTGAATACTAGCTCTTATTATTGTTATTGTTACTGACCATCAGTGTTTGTCATTGTTATTGTTGCTGTTGTTGTTATTGACTATCAGTTTGAACAGGCTTCCAGTGAGATCGTGGTGGCACACTGTATGTCTGTTGTACATTAGAGACATTGCCTGGAGCTGGGCCACCAGTGTTTTTGACTACTGAGCTCATGAATTACAGTCTGTTAAGATGTAGGGAGGATTGGGTCTGCATCAATGGAGAGTGTTCACCCTACTGAAGCAAATACCTGTAATGTCTGACTCTGGTGTGTTTCACTGAGGTCCTTTGAAAGGTTTGCTAAGAGTTTTAAATTAGCAAAGGGAGGCAGCCTGTGGCCTGGGGGAGAATAGAAGTAGAAGTAAAGGTAGCAGGCAGGTAAATTAGGACCTGTTGAAGAAGATAAAGGAGAGTCACCTGGATTTTTGTACCTCAGTTCCCAGAGGTCAGTTTGGGAAAGCTTTCTCAAAGGGGTAGGATTTGAACTTCCTTTGGAAAGATTTTCGTAAACAGAAGGTGGGGGAAGGACTTTACTGGCCTGGGTAACTACATATTCTCAGGTTGGGTGTGGGTGGGGCTAGGAAGAGATAGACTTGCCTAGAGCAGAACCCTCCTGTGGAGTAGCAAGAGGTCAGATGGCCTCCGTAGGGTAACAGCAGTCATCCCGGTTTTCTTGCTCTTCCAGGGGGAAAACGTGACGAAAAGCTGATTTTGCCCATCAATTCCTCACTGAGTGTCACTCTGCACCAAAATCAGGTATGCACAAATTCGTAAACTACTTTTCCCTCAGCTGGGAGCTGAGATCCCACACAAGTCCAGATACTGTATAGTAACTGGAACACCTTGCCTGTGGAGGAGTGGGAAGAGAAAAGTCAGCCACAGTGTTCTCAGTGTGCAGCCTCCACGTGCCAGCTTTCCACCAGAGGAATTCAAGATTCACGACCCCTCCCAGAGGATTCTTTTGATGATGATTTCACAGGACCAACATTTCTGCACTAAAAAATAAGGGACCCAAACCATTTGTACTAGAACCCTGGCCTGGCAGGTAGGATTACTGGACCTAGTCCAGGGTCTCTGCCACCTACCCTACAACCCCATGCATGGCAGTGTCTGCCTCTGACTGTTTCCTGATTTCTAAAATATACTTAAGGACTAGGTCAGGGGTGGGGAACCTTCAGCCTCAAGGCCACATGTGACCCTCTAGGTCCTCTAGCGCAGCCATGGATTTTGTTCTGTGAAGTTTGGATGCAGTCAAAGGGCTGCACTTCAAGACCTAGAAGGCCATGTGTGGCCTTGAGGCTGAAGGTTCCCTACCCCTAGGCTCAACCTATGATTTACTGTCATAAGGCACTCCCTGGCTGAGGCAGGGTCCTCTGCCAGTACAAGCTGGAACTTTCTCTGCAACTTAGAGTCTTAGAGAGTATTCTGGGGCTCTCAAAAGTTAAATGACTTATAGTTAAGTGACCGGTAGGTGTCAGAGGTGGGAGTTGAACCCAGGTCTTCCTGGCTTTATGGTTGGCCTTCAATTCCTTAAGCCACACTGCCTCATTTCTTTCTTTTTCTTTTCTTTTTTCTTTTTTTTTTTTTTTTTTTGGAGGCAGTCAAGGTTAAGTGACTTGCCCAGAGTCACACAGCTAGTATGTATTTGAGGCCAGATTTAAACTTGGGTCCTCCTGACTCCAGGGCTGGTGTTCCACATACTGCCTCATTTCTAAGTGAGATCACAGATCCCTTTGAGTGTGTATAGGGTCCAGTGGAATGTAAGCCTCTTGAGGCCAGGAACTTTTTCTGTCTTTGAATACTGCACACCTAGCACAATACCTTACTTGTACATAGTAGGGGCTTAGTAAATACTTATTGAACTTGGGGCAGGGGGAAATCATTATCTTAAAAGACTGAAAAAATTAAATAAGGGTAACATCTGGCTCCTTGAAAGGTGGAAAAGGAGATCATGGGTAGTAACAGGTATTAAAATGGGCTTGGATGTGTGGGAAATGAGTTCAGTTCTAATTATTAGTGCCATCTAGAAATTCCTTGTTATTTCCTGAAGGCTGAGGTGACCCTGTTTTTCTTTCCTAGTTAAAAACCACCACCACAGCAGCCATCAGCCGGGACTTCAAAGAGGACCGAATCTGGCTGAATGGCAAGGAGGAGGATGTGGGGCACCCACGGTTACAGTCCTGCCTTCGAGAGAGTAAGGGCTGGAGATCTTGAACTGGTTCCTTTGACCCTGGGTCACATGCCCTTCTCCTGTCCTAGTTTTCATTTGGGATGGGAGTGGTAATGAACCAGTGTGTTCTAGCTGAAAGAAGGTGGATTAGAAGATATCAATGATGTTTTCCATTTTCCTGACTCCCTTAAAGCAAGCTGGCAGCAGGCTTGGTGACTAACCCTGAGCAGTGTTTGGGGTACCTCCAGCACCACCCTTCTCATTGTTTCTCAGCTCTCTACTTTGGTACATAATGGTTGGGAGCTACAGAGCTGTAGGTGTGGGGGTCAGGAGCTATACAAAGGGAGAAGCTTATGGATTTTGTTGTTTTTAATTTTTTTATTCTGAAGTTAACAAACACCCAAAATGAACATTTCCATATACGAAGAAAAAGGGGGTTGTACATGAAACTGAGAAATCTCTATTACATGTAGCTTGCTTTTCCTTTTAAGTGTATAATAAATTCAACATGGTTGGTTATTGCATTGATCAGAATCCCAGTTTAGGTCTTTCTTAGTTGTTTTCCTTTCACTGTTACAGTTATTATATAAATTGTTCTGCTGGTACTGCTTACTTCACTCTTCATTAGTTCATACAAGTCTTCCCAGGTTTCTCTGAAACTGTCTGTTTTGCTGTTTCTCACTGTGCAGTAATATTCCATCACATTGATATACCAAGACTTGTTTGGCCATTCCCTAGTTGATGGACATCCCCTTAGGTTCCAGTTCTTTTTTTTTCCCCAAGTATATGTAAAAATAATTTTAACATTCGTTTTTCTAAAATTTTCAGTTTTGCTTTGATCTGCATTCAGATTCTATCAATTATTTCTCTGGAGGTAGACAGCATTTTTCATCATAAGTCCTTCAGAATTGTCCTGGATCATTGTATTACTGAGAATAGCTAAGTTGTTCACAGCTGATCATTGTACAATATTGCTGTTACTATGTAAAATATACTCCTGGTTCTGCTCACTTCACTTTGCATCAGTCTTTCCAGGTTTTTTTTGAAGTCTACCTGCTCATTATTTCTTATAGCACACTAGTATTCCATCATAATCATATGTCACAACTTGCTCAGCCATTCCCCAGTTGATGGGCATCCCCTCAATTTCCAATTCTTTGCCACCACAAAAAGAGCTGCTATGAATATTTTTGAACATGTGGGTCCTTTTCCTGTTTGTGTGATCTCTTTGGGATACAGACCCAAATAGTGGTATTGCTGGATGAAAAGGTATGCGCAGTTTGGTTGCCCTTTGGGCATAGTTCCATTGTTCTCCAGAATGGTTAGTCTAGTTCACAACCCCACCAACAAAGCTTTAGTGTCTCAGTTTTCCCACATCCTCTCCAACATTAGTCATTTTCCTTTTCTGTCATATTAGCTGATCTTTTTGGTGTGAAGTGATACCTCAGAGTTATTTTTATTTCTCTATTCAATAGTGATTCTCTAATCAAGCATTTTCTTATGGCTATAATTAGCTTTGATTTCTTCATCTGAAAACTGCTTGTTTATATACTTTTACCATTTATCAGTTGGGGAATGACTTGTATTCTTATAAATTTGACTCAGTTCTGTATATATCTGAGAAATGAGGCCTTTATCAAATAAACTTATAAAAAAAATTTTACAGCTATGATTTCTATGTATTTCCCTCCATCTTCTTTTTTCCCTTGTTTATCCCTCTCTCTCCTTTCATCCTGTCCCTCCTCAAAAGTGTTTTGATTCTGATCACCACCTTCCCTGATGCACACTCCCTGCTATCATCCTCCCAACCCTTTCTCTTATCCCCTTCCCCTCCTCCTTCCCCATAGGATAACATAGATTTCTATACCCAACTGAGCATATATGTTATTCCCTCTTTGAGCCAATTCCAATGAGAGTAAGGTTCAAGCATTATCTAGCCCACTCACCTCATCTTCAGCCTCCACTATAAAAGCTTTTTTGTGACTTTTATGTAAGATAATTTAACCTTTCTACCTCTCCCTTCCCCTTTCATCCCTGTTTCTCACCCCCCAATTTTTGTTAGATATCCCATCATAACTTACACCTGCGCGCTCTATCTATGTATTCTTCTAACTGCCCTAAGAATGATAATGTTCTTAGGCGTTACAAATAATCATCTCACTATGTAGGAATGTAAACAGTTTAAGCTCATTGAATCCCTTATGACTTCTCTTTCCTGTTTACTGTTTCATGCTTCTTTTGAGTCTTGTATTTGAAAGTCACATTTTCTCTTTAGCTGTGGTCTTTTCATCAGGAATGCTTGAAAGTCCTCTATTTCATTATATCTCCATTTTTCCCCTGAAGAATGATGCCCAGTTTTGCTGAGTAAGTGGATTCTTAGTTGTAATCCCAGCTCTTTTTCCTTCTGGAACATCATATTCCAAGCCCTCCAGTCCTTTAATGGAGAAGCTGCTAACTCCTGTGTTATCTTGACAGTGGCTTCACAGTGTTTGAGTTGTTTCTCTGTGGATGCTTGCAGTATTTTTTTCTTGATCTGTGAGCTTTGGAATTTGGCTATAATATTCTTAGGAGTTTTCATGTCGAGATCTCTTTGAAGTGGTAGATCGGTTTCTGTGTTAGCCTCTGGTTCTAGGATGTCAGGGCAATTTTCCTTGATATATGTTGCCCAGGATCTAATGCGGTACCTGTCATCTAGGGTTCCTTTGCAAATCCTTGTGGATCAGCTGATTTCCCAAGGGTTGGGAATTCTCATTTTTTGTTCTTAGCACAAAAGGACAGGGTAGTGCCCAGAGCTGAGTGTGCCCGCCCCCTTCTCTTGTTGGTCCCAGCAGGCACTGATTAAGCACCCACTCTGTGCTATGCACTGGGGAGGCAAGGAAAGGCTAACCAGTGTGCTCTGAGGCTGATGAGGAGACAGCCTGCCAAAGGAGCTCCAGGGAGGGGAGTGGGAAAGCCACGTCAGAGGCAGTCACAGAAGGACCAGCCCGGCCCCAGCCCCTGGGCTTTGTTCCTTTCTCTCTTGCCCAACAGTCCGTCGCCTGGCTCGGAAAAGAAGGAGCGGGAGTGATGGAGATTCTGTTCCGCTTTCCTACAAGGTGCACATTGCGTCCGTGAATGACTTCCCCACGGCGGCAGGTCTGGCCTCCTCAGCAGCGGGGTACGCCTGCCTTGGTGAGTAGTGTTGGAAGCGGGGCCCACTGGGAATGTCTTCAGATCTGCCTCCCCAAACCAGGGAGGGTCCGGGACTCTGGGAGGGTTGGGGTAGGGCTCAGCTCTGATTGGTCAGCAGCAGCTCCTGGTTACTGGGAGGTATGAGGGCCCTGGTGAGCTGCCTGGAGGCCTGCCCTCACCACTCGGCATCTTTTAGCCCCGTCTCCCAGCTCTTAGGTAATCACAGATATTGCTGTTTTCTGAACCAGCCTCGTGGCAGTGTGTAATTGCACAAATAAAACCTCTGCCTGCTGGGAGATAACGATTGCATCTCCAATGGTAATCCCAGTGACTGTGAGTGCCTTCCACTTCGCCTCCCGGGTCATCTCTCCTCTCCATTCCTTTGTCCACAGTCTACACGCTGGCCCAGCTCTACGGGGTCGAGAGCGAGCTTTCAGAAGTGGCCCGGCAAGGCTCGGGCAGTGCTTGTCGGAGCATGCTGGGGGGCTTTGTGCAGTGGCACATGGGAGAAAGGCCTGATGGCAAGGACAGCATCGCCCAGCAGGTTGCACCGGAGTCCCACTGGCCAGAGCTCCGAGTCGTGGTTCTGGTGGTGAGTGGGACCTGACTTGGGAGTAGGTGGAAGCTTCTCTGACAGGATTTCCCATTCTGAGGGCTGGGCTTCTGGGAGGAGGCCCGAGAGACCACGGCTGCATCCCTCGGGTCTGTGGCCTAGACGATTCTGGGTGGTTTGGCTGGGGAAGCCTCAGGGAAATGCGGAAGAGCCCTGTGTCCCTCCGTCCCTGCCAGGACAGTCTTAGCTGCTCCATAGACGTGTGTGTCCTGTTCATTCATTCATGCCACGGCTTACGCTTCCCAAACTGTGAGCCTCTTCATTTTCCAAAGGCCAACTCAGACACCTCCTCCGTGAAGGCGTCCCTGACTACTCTCCCCCTCATCCCCCCATTTCCTCTGAATTTCTCTGGCACTTTAGAGTCTGTCCCACCTTCTCTAATGGTCTGCCGTGGGTTGTTTGTGGTTGTTTCATGTGTGTCAATCTTGTCTGAAGCTCCTAGAAGACAGCTCGTCTGTCTGTATTTTCTCCAGCACGTAGTTCGTGTAGTTCGTTACCTCGCAGAGCTCCCTGGGCCGTGATGGGTTGGTTTGGGGAGTGCTGGGACATGTGCTCTTTTGAAGTTGCTGCCCTGGGGAACCTAATGTATTCTTTCTTGGGTTAGGTGAGTGCTGAAAAAAAAAAAGTGGCCAGCACAGCTGGAATGCAGACCAGCGTAGAAACCAGCTCTCTGCTCAAAGTAAGACTGGGCCTGGGGCCCGCAGGGGGATGGAGCAGGAGGGGATCACACCATGGGCAGCCAGCCTTGCCAGAGTCACAGGATCCTCAGCCTCTTCTCCCCTCACCCGCAGGCTTCCCGATCAGCATGCCTGTTCCTTCCCACCCTCCAGCCTTTCCCTTGATAGTCTGATGAGTCTGGAAAACTGGCCCGTTTCTTTGCAGTTCCGGGCTGAATCTGTGGTGCCTGGGAGGATGGCAGAGATGGCGCGGTGCATCACAGAGCGTGACTTTGAGGGATTTGGCCAGCTGACCATGAAGGACAGCAACCAATTCCATGCCACTTGCCTGGACACCTTCCCTCCCATTTGCTACCTCAATGACACATCTCGGCAGATCATGGGCCTCGTCCACCGCTTCAATGCCCACTATGGCAAGACTAAGGTAAAGTGATGGCTTCTTGTACAGGACCTCAACACCTTACGCCCTGCAATTCCCCAGAGCAGGGGGCCAGGCTCACAACTGGACCCAGGGAATAATGTGGATTGGTGGCCAGCAGGGATCCCTTTCTGATCGAGTTGGATGCCCCTGCCCTAGAGCCCTGTGTGGTATTCACGGCTCCTGAGGAAGGCAGTAGGGAGAAGAGGTCCATGTGGAAAGACCAGAGAGCATGCCCGTTGCCAGGCGTCTGGGGTCCCTCCCCACCTTGTGTTCATAGGGAATGAAGCCTCTGCTCCCCTAAAAAACATCAGCATCTAACTTGTCTCTTCCTACCTCGGCCCCCACACAGTGTGGATTGATGCCAGGCTTCTTCCTTCCTAGATCCCGTGAAACATCAGAGGCAGAGGGAGGCCCCTTTGCTCTCTTGGTGGTCCTCAGGCGCCTCTTAGGGAAGTTGGGGCTCTGGTGCTTTAAGGACGAGGCCCCGGGGAGCCCGAGAGTTCCTTGTGCTGCCTGGTGGCCCGGGAGCAGAGGGGCTATCACAGACACATCCGCCTCTGCTGTCCTGCTTTTCAGGTGGCGTACACATTTGACGCAGGTCCCAATGCCATCATCTTCACCCTGGAAGACACGATGGATGAATTTGTCGCTGTCATAAAACACATCTTCCCACCAGAGATGAACGGAGACAAGTGAGTTGCATGACCTGTTTCCTCTTTTCTCCCTTTTCCTGGATGGCTATGGCTGGCTTATGTATTTGTTGAGGTACAAAGAAAGACAAATAGTATCTGCTTCAACCAAAAGGTTAAACTGAAAATCCCTGCGTCTGTTACCCACTTTAATTTGCTATTTGAGATGGGGATCATGATGTGAGGACCATTGGAACACATAATGATGGTGGGCAACATTCTCAGAGTCCAGTAGCATCACTGGTTATCCTAGGAGGCCTGCAATAGGAAGTGGGCTTCCCAGGCTAGTGTCTTGTTTCCCTCCTGAAGCCAGAGAAGAGAGCTATTACACTGTTTGCCCAGTACTCTGGTTATGGGAGCCTAGCGGTGATAGCAGGAGCAGAGTGGGCAGTGCTGGCCTAGATGGAAGCTGGTCTGGGCCAGCCTCAAAGGCAGGGAAGAGAGGACAGAGGTGCCTCTCGGGGGCCCAGTCACCATTCAGGCTCCCAAGGAGCCACATTCTGGCTGTGGGGTATGGTTAGGACGATGGAAGACTCTTTAAAGATTTTCTTGATGGTGGCCCTTCTGCCGGTGCTTCTCCATGCACTGACTAGTCTCCATCATCTCTTCCTAGCTTTTCTCCTTACTTCTCCTTGCTACTTTCTGTGTAAGCAGTCATGGGGAGAGAAGGAATCAGTGCCTTGGAAGATAAAGGAGTAGTTTTGAAATTAACCTGTGGAATTTGTTGTAGACTTGGATGGAGAAGCAAGCTGTATGTGGGTCAGGTTCATGGCTTCAGTCTGCACAATGTTGTGCAAGTAATCATATTTTGGGTAGAAAACACTGACTTTTTTAAAAAACAATGTAGAATTTTGAAGGCCATGTCTGCAGAGCGTAAGCTCTGAGAGGTTCTACCTACTTGATGTGGTCCCAGCAATAGCCTGCACCTCCGGAAGCATGGGAGGCTTAGGGACAGGAGCTTGGTCACCGCGTGGGGAATTGGTTGGCCAACCCATGAAACAAAGAACAGAGGGCTGAAAGGGTCCCATCCCACTTAGGCGAATGGTAGTGGTGGGCACAAATGGTAGTGGTGGGCACGAATGGGCAGACATCTCTTCGTTTCCTTCGTCCATGCTGCCTCAGGGTGACTGACACTAAAGAGGGTGATGTCTTCCTAGTCATTTTCCTCCCAGGTTCCTGAAGGGCTTGCCAATAGAGCCCGCTGAGCCCTCAGAAGAGCTGAAATCTGCTTTGGCCATGGAGCCATCCCCTGGAGTAATCAGATACATCATTGCCACTCAGGTAATGCCTAGAAAGCGCTTTCCTCTGGTCACCAGGGAAGTCCCTGCAAGTCAGCACAGAAGGCCCTTTCTCTTTCCCCTAATGCCCATTCCAAAAAGTCATCTCATTTATTACACTCGCCTTCAAAGGTCCCCAGTTCTTTCTGCACGGATTCCCTCTCCTGCCCCAGAGCTGTTAGGCCACTTTTCCTTGCTTGCCATCCACAAACTGTTGGCCCTGGTGTAGTAACAGCTTAGGGGAAGTACAGATAAGCAGGGGCCGCTTTCTCCCAAAAGCAGATATTTCCCGTGGTTCCTCTGCAAATCACATGTTCATAATTGCATGGCATGCATATGATATGATGACCTCCCTTGTCCATCCCTGAGGGGGTGGGAGGCTGCTGCTGGGAAAGGTGCTATAAATGTGAAGCCACAGTGGACAGACGAACCTGTGGAACAGAGAAGACAGAGGAGGAAGAAAAGCTTCCCAAGGAAATTTGGCCAAGGGTTTGGAGAAATGGACCCCAGCCAAGCCAATGTTCCAAAATGGCCATCTTGTATTGGGCTAATGTCTTTCTGCCTAGAAGGAATAGGGGAGAGTTTACTCTTTAACCCTTCCCTCCTGGCCCAGTGAGGAGGCTCGCTAAGTGAAATGCCTGCCTGTCCACGTAATCCTGCACTGAACTTCTCCTCTGTTACAGGTGGGGCCCGGACCTCAGGTGCTGGAGGACCCCCAGCAGCCACTCCTGGGCCCCAATGGCCTGCCCACACTGGCGTCCTGAGCACGCGCCATCTCCGGTCATCATGCACCTCGGGGAGAGGCAGCTGAATGGGGAGCATGGATACCACTTCTGGTTATGCTGTCGGGGACTGGCTTGTTGGGACTCTGGATGCTTTCCCAGTGTCCGCACGTGGCTGGAAAAATATTGTCAGGCGGGGGATTCTGTCAGAGATGCCACCAGCAAGGACTTGTGCATTGGCTTGACTGTCGGCTCTTCCGCCCTCCAGCGGTAGAGGCGGTTGTCCCTGTCGTGGGGTCTGTCACCTCTGTGTGCAGATGTGCAGAGGTGGCACTGTCGTGGTGGGGACCCCAGACATCCCCCTCCTAGTCCATCACGCAGAGGCCTGGGCAGAAGCGACACCAGACCCTGTCGGAGATGGCGGTGGAGACTCGTTCCTTCCTGACCCTTCCTCCAAAGCCTTTCTCGCTGCTCTTCAACAAAGTCCATGGAGGAAAGAAATGGCCCACGTCTTCTCTACTGGATTGTTGTTGACTCTTCTTGACTTGTATTAAATGAATGGGAGTGTGCCAGCAAAGCAGCCTCTTGGGAGCCCGCAGAAGGAGGGTGTTTCTTGGGGTGGTGGCCTGCAGGGCCAATCTTTTGCCAAATTTTGCTCGGGTGTTCCAGAATTTAAGCCACTGACTGTGAGTTTAATTTTATTAAAAAAAAAAAAAGAATTAATTTAAAATGGACAGTCTCTAAGTGGTCTTTCCTTAAAGCCAGTGGTGACATGTTAACTGGGCATCTGTGCTACCTTGCTCCACAGAGCTGAAAGGTGGTTGTTGGCATTAGTCTTGAGTGGAATGTGCGGTTCTGTGAGGGTAAGTGACTTCCCTATGGATCTCTATTGGAATTTCTGTGGAAATAAACCCCCCTACCCTTGGCTCCCAGAATGGTGCTCTCCTCCCTAATCCCCAGACTTTGGGGGAGAGGATGGGTGACCTCACAGAGGCAGGGTTCAACTTTGCCTAAGAAATAGCAGAAGTCGATTATTTCACCCCAGAAAGAAGTGCTATTGTGTCCTCTGTTATCTAGTGTTCTGTTGAAGGGAAGTGTTCCTGTTTGTATATTACTGTGATAATTGGTGTTCATCACGATGACCCTAGAGCTCCCTCTGAATCTCCGACGGAAAATCTGATTATAATCAGCCCTGTTGGTGTTCTTGTTCATCGGTCCCCCCTTTCATGGATTCCCAATTAATTATCCAATACATTCCATTTTCTAACTGTGGTGGACAATTACATCTGCCATTTAAACAGTACTGTAAGCATGTAAGTAAACTGAAAAAAATTAAACTCCAAAAGGATTTTCCCCTTATACTCAACACTTATCTCCCCAGCACCAACACCCTGGGAGCTGAAGGTCAGGGAGAGCCAGGAGTTGCAAGGGTAGAAGCAAAGGACCTGGAGATCCAAAGTGCCCTGAATGATGGCCATGCAAATGTGCCAAGTAAAATCGGACTCTGGTCCCACATCCTCCAGGATGGGGTCTGGGCTGGTTTGTTTCCCCAAGTGAAAACAGCACGTAGCCCTCTACAGTTCAGGCTTCAGCTCCAGAAGCCCCACTTCCCTCTGTGTTTTCCATTGATGATACAATTGAGCTGTTTTCTGTCGCTGTAAAGAGTGGCTGGTGGTTCTACTGTTACAGTTGGTTTAGAATTTCCCTTTATTCAGTTTCTTCTCATACCTCATCACCTCAGATGTCCACATTGTCCCTGTAGGATCTTCTAAACCCACAAACTACAAAATAAAACAGAAGGAAGCATTCACTTCAAAGAGAAGGGGTAAGGGGTATAATGTCTCCCTCTTCTCACTGGTGTGACTCATGCTACTTCATGTGACTAGGCTTTACAACCAGGGCGGAATTGTTCGTTCCTGTCCTGTGAGGGCACTGGTGGCAAGGGCCCTTTTCACAGGGCGGATGTCTCTACTAACACCTATTTATTTGAAGAAGAGAATAACTCAAGATTGTGAAGGGTATTCTGTTAGGAAGCTGGTCTGGATCAAAGGCTTCCTGGACCCCTTTGGCCACATTCTCGTGAACCCTGGACCCTTTCTCAGAGTCATGTTTTTAGGGGGCTAGGCAGTGGGGTTAAGTGACTTGCCCAGGATCACACAGCTATAAGTGTCAAGTGTCCGAGGCTGAATTTGAACTCAGGTCCTCCTGACTCCAGGGCCAGTGCTTTATCCACTGCACCACCTAGCTGCCCCCAGAGTCATGTTTTTGAATGCATAGGATACCTTTAACAACAAAAGACACCAATTCTGCTGAAATACAATTATCCAGAAAAGTTTGTTTAAGTCACAAACTCCCTGAATTCTATTCATGGACCCTGAATGAAAAGCCCTGGCTCTGTAAGACAGCAAAGGTGCAACTCTTGAGATTCTCGGATTTTAGGATTTGCCACATAGGTGTCTATGTCTAAGGTCAGTTTTTCCTGAGCCCCCCTGCTTTGTAAAGGGCCTTCCTCTGGAAGGAAGGTGTGACAGCGGCTCATGTTTCATTGCAGGAGCAGGCCAGCACCACAGAGGTGATGGCCAGCGCTCCGGAGAGAGGGCTGCCATCTTGCATAGGCAGCCCTATGTCTCGAGCACCTTCCCTTCTTGCTTCTGTCTCCTTGCACCCATAGGCCCCTTCAAGGCTCATTGTAATCGTCACCTACTTCAAGAAGTCTTCCCTTATTCCCTCAGTCTTTAGCTCTTCCACTCCCAATTACTGTTGGTTTTTTGTAGCCTGTATTTTTGTCTGTTGTCTCCCCCTCGTAGGATGTAAACCTCCAAAAGGGAAGGGACCACTTCAGTTTTGTATTTGTATCCCTGTCCTCCAGCCCAGTGCCTGGCACACAGTAGGTACTTCATAAATGATTGCCAATTGTTTTGCTTAGGAGGATGTTGGGGGTGGGAAGGGGCATTTTAATAAAGGTATAAAATGTGGGGTAGCCTAAAGAGGAACTGCCAATAGTTCATCTGGCCTTTCAGGAAATTGGTCAACTTCGCACAACCCCAGGCATAGAAGAGCCTCTGTCCTCTTCTCATTCTTGGTTTCTTTAGCTGAAGAATAGCCCATTTTTAACTTAGGTCAGGTGTTCCAGTTATAATGCATTATCTCATTTGTTCCTCAAAACAACCTTGTGGCATGACCTTTTGGGGCCTTAGTTTCCTCATCTATAAAATGAAGAGATTGGACTAGATAAACACCAAAGTCTGTGGGAGCTAGAAAACCTATGAACTACTGATGTCTCTACCTAGGTAGTGCAAGCATTATTACTCTATTTTATGAGTGAACAACCGGAAACTGACGTCACAGAGTTAGTAAGTGACAGAGCCAGAGCTAGGTCCTATGTCTCCTGACTTTCTTTCCTCTGCATCAGGAATCCCATAAGGCAGTGGGGTCTGGTAGAAAAAACAATGGCCCTGGAGACGGGAGCCTTGACTTTGAATCCAGGCTCTGTGACAGTAACTGTTCTCTGAACTTCAAGGCTTTGTTCCTGTTAGGGAAGAGCTGTGTTTATCTGAAAGTTTTATTTTAATATAAGAGTTACTAAGCAGAACCCTGACCCTTGAGAATGGAGTGGGGGTCCCCAGAAGTTGGGTTACTTATGTAAATCCCTTTGTTTGGAGATGGCAATGTGGGGTAACAAATAGAGAACAGGCCTTCACACCGGGGAGACTTGGGTTCAGGTTCTGCCTCTGATACTGACTGGCTGTGTGACTGTGGGCAACTAGTCAACTCCCTAAGACTAAGAGGCAGAAAAGGTGCCCACCTGCAGTGGCAGAGGGAGTATCCCACTCTTGGAGTTCCTTGTAGCCATGAAATGATCACAAAGCGGGCGATTCGCTCGATGCCCTTCCAAGGAGGAATGAGGGGCGGAGACTATCACGACAGGAGTGTCTAATGTGAAGTTGGGCGTTCAGGAGTTGGCATTATTCCGGAGATGGGGGAGCCTGGAGAGCAGAGCAGCGCCGAGCCACTGTCCCGGGACTGGGTGGGGGTCAGGAGATCAGTTAAATAAGGGTCCAGTCGGTCGGGATGGGGAGGTTGGAGGCGCAGGCAGAAAGAGTGGGAGGGGAGGAGAGAGGAAGAGGAGGAGAAAGTGGAGGAGGAGGAGGAGGAGGGCACGAGGAGGCCGGGCCGTCCCCGGGGTGGGGCACAGGGAGGGGCGGAGTCGTGGTCGGGGCCGCTGGGTGGGTCAGTGCCGGGCTCCCGCCGCCGCCGCGGTCTCCTACTCCTCCGGCTTCTCCCGCTGCCCGCTCTCTCCGGGGGTCGCCGCCTGCCGTGATGGGGCAGATCGAATGGGCCATGTGGGCCAACGAGCAGGCTCTGGCGTCCGGCCTCAGTGAGTCGGGACAGGGGCACGATGTGGGGGCGGGAGGGCGGCTTGACCCGTCTGGCCCCCTGGGGCATGCCAGCTCTTTCCCCGCCCCCACAGGCAGCCCTGGGCTGGAAACTTTTTCGGTTTTAATTTAACTTTGAGAAGCCCAGAGTGAGTGTCCTGAACCAGGGGGGAGTGGGACCAGGGATGGGGGCGGGGGGCGGGAGGTGGAATGGGAAGGAGAGTGGGGCTGCAGGTGGGTGTCTAGAGCTTTGTGGGGGAGGAGGAAGAGAGAGATGAAATAAAGAGGCGGGGGGGAGAGAGAGAGACAGAGACAGAGAGAGATTGGTTAATTGATTGATTGATTGTTAGAGGGTGCAGCTAGGAGATGTGCCGGGGTAAAGGCAGCAGCTGGGGGCATCACCAGGCTGTGAGGGGAGGGGGAAGGAGGGAGGGAAGGGAAGCAAAGATGAGCTTAGGGGTTTGGCCAGAGGTTAAGGCACAACAGGGAAACACAGAAAACAGGGACTCTGTTTGGTGGCCCCCGTTAGCCAAGGAACACATGAGCCCCCTTTTCTGCCCCCTCTCCCTCAAGTCCCTCTCCATTATGAACCTCAGAAAGACAAGTGAGAAGGAAGCTGCCTCTGCTAGTTTGAGGAAGTAAAGGTAAAAAGGAGAAGCGGGGCTTTTCTCCCTCCCATGTCCTCTTCTCGAGACTTCTCTTTCTCCTCTTCCTTGTGGTTTCTGGCTAGGTCACCACCCTACTGCTAAGCCAGGGAAAGTCCCCGTCTGCTGCTGCAGCCTCCTGTCCCCTGACATCTTCCGAAGGAGAAGTCTTCTGCCTTCAGCTTTGCCTCCTGAGGCTCCCCTGTGATCTGAGAGGCAGACACCCCCTTTACAATCAGGACTGGGGGATACCCTAGTAGCTGAGGGGTGTGGAAGCTTACATCACAGCCTTGCCAAGGCCCCACCAGGTCTCTGGGTTTTCGGTCCCCAATCACTCTTCCTCCAAATCCTATGAGCTACCACCTCAATATAGGTCCGCACGTTCACACAGCAAAGAGAGAAGCCATTTGTGACCTGATTTAAGATCCTAAGATTTAGCACCAGGAAGAACTTTGAAGATTAGGTCCCGTTTTACAGATGAGAAAATGGAGGCTTTGAGGAGGGAATAACTTGCTCAAGATCACACGAGTCAGAGGTCCTCTAAGTCCACACACAGCCCATGACTGACCATGGCCAGGGTGAGAGGGGCCCCTTCCGCTCCTTCGTGCTGCCAGCAGACGGCTTGGTCCATAAGAAGGCAGAGTTGTAGAATCTCAAAGCTAGAAGGAGCCTTAGACTTCTGAAATCATTGGGTTTTCGAGACCAGCTAAGCCAAGAAGCAGCTCAGGACTTCCCCTTTCTTCTCCCACTTTCCAGGAGTCCACTATCCTGTGTTCCCTGCCCCCTCTAGCCTTCCCCTCTTCCTCAGAGACCTGGTCTCACTGATTTCAGTCTGAGCCGGAGTATGAATGTCAGCGCTCACTCACCCTCTCCCAGGGGCCTGTGTATGGGGAGCCTTCTCCTGTCCTGTCCAAGAAGGGGCTTTCTCCATCCCTGTGGAAGGTATAGGGGAGGGGATAAGGGAATAGGGCTTGCCAGGTCAGCCTACTTAGAGTTGAGATGCCTTGGACCACTTGGGTTAAAGCATCATCCCAAAAGCTGAGCCTCTGCTCCCCCTCACTTCACCTTGTCTTCAAGCCCCTCGATGGCTACCTCCCTCCCTGCAGGAAAGAGAGAGGCGCCCAGTCTGGCTTGTTTAACTCCTCAGGGCATAAACTGGGCTTCAGTCTGAGCTAGTGGGTGGGTGGCTCCTTCTTGGGAAGGTAGGTTCCTGAGATCTCGGGCAGCTATGAAGTCTGTGAGCTGCTGCCTCTGTTCAGATAATGCAAGTGTCATTTACCCCCATTTTATAGACTGTGTATGACATAAAGCCTAGGTCATAAAGTCAGTTAATGAGAGACAGAGCCCGGAATTGAATCCTGGGACTTCTGACTTGAAAATTTTGTTGTACTTTGAACTATTCTCGGACCTGAAACTGGAACAACTTTTAGCCAGCCTGGTCATTAGGATCTTTTTTTCCCTTTTTAAAAAAATTGTGAAGGATAATCATTTCTTAGCTTAATAGCTAAGCACTTGCCCTGTGCCTGGCAAGTGAACTGAGGAGGGAAAAAAAAAACAAACTTTGAAGATTCTGAAATGTAGAAGTCAAGAAAACAAGGAGGACCCCCCCTCAAACAAATGGTAGCAGTTGAATGGAGATCAGGTTTTTTCATGATCTGAAATCTCTCTGTGTTTGATTGAATTTTTTTTTCTTTTTTAAAAATGAAATTGTATTGATATCTTCTGTTTTTATGTTGCCTATATTTACCCCTTTATTCTTCCGTCTTCTTTCCCGGAGAGCAACCCCAAGTAAGAATTTTTTTTAAGAGAAAAAAACATGAGGAAAACTGATAAACGCAACCAAAAAAAATCTGAATATATGTGTCCACATTTGTGTCCATCCCACCTCTGCAAAAGAGTAGGGAAAGGCATCTTCTCCTAGCTCTTCTTTGGGACTAAATACATGAATTTTTAATTTATGCTACTGGTGAGCCATAACCTTTAAAAAAAAAAAGCCTTCTGTTGATACTTATTGCCTTTTTAAGAGCATCACTTCTCAATAATCATTTCTTTCCTTGTAACAAAGATAATAGTTAAGCATAATAAACCAACTCATTGAAAGTGCCTGGCTGCATATGCACTACTCTCTACCTCAGCCCAGCACTTTTCTACTGAGAAGAAGGAAGTATTGAACCGCCTAATGTTAGCTGGGCAACAATAGGGGCTTGCATGTTTGTTTAACTGTAACACAAGAGCAGTCCAGGGAACACTTTTAATCCACTTGCTTCTTATAGAAGCAGGGTTCTGGGTTCAGTGCTAGCCATTGACTGGTCTTGATCAGATATTTAACATATTCTTGAGAACTGTGAGCATCATTTCAGCTCTGACTGTGGGCTGCTACCGCTAACCTAGCTTTCCTTTTTATTTCCTTTTATTTTTTATTCTCTGCCCTTAGCACAGTCTCTGGTACATAGTTAACAAACATTTATTGACCGACTGCCTAATCAGCTAGGGGTTCCCGCCTTGGATTTTAACCCTTTTATGAATGAAGCCCAGACTTAGGCTGCCTTGCTAGAAGTGTCGGGTAGTTAAGAGTACTGACCTTAGACTGGGAAGATTAGAGTCTGGGTCCTATTGTTCATCTGCTGTGTGAATCTGAGCAAATCCCCTCACCTCTCTGAGCCTAAATTGCCGCAGCTCTAGAATGAGGACTTTGCCTTGCTGACCTCACAGAGCGGCTGGGGGAAAGCGCTTTGTAAGCCGTTATCAAAGTGTACATCACTATAGCTTTTTGTCTATTAGCTATGATTTCTTAAGTGTCGTTTTGGAAAATCCCTTCACTGAAGCAGAACAGCCGTTCATCTGTAACTCACAATTTGGCAGGTTTTTTTGGTGAGGGCACAAGTGGTTAAGAGGTTAAGCACGTGGTACCACAGCAAGTAGGTATCTGTGAGACACAAGATTTAACTCAAGGCTGGCCCTTTATCCAAGATGTATCCCATTATTACTATTATTACTTTTATAATAATAATTATATAATATAGCAATTAATAGTAATAAATTAGAGTAATTAGTTACTATTATTCCTTTTATAATTACATCATGCAACAATATAATGTTAAGGATATAATGCTCTATCATACTGATAATAATTAATTAATATGAATAATTATGGTGTACTAATTAGATCAGATGTTGTTATGCAAAAACTCTCCAGTGTCTTGCATCCCTGGAGCTGCCTCTACCCCAGGCCACAAGTTGTCCACAGACCCGAGGAAGGGCTTTGCTGGTCATTTCTTAGTGTGAGTGTGGGCTTACGCACCCAGAAGGCTTTTCAGGTACTCGTCTCTTCCCAGTCCTGGGAATTCCACGTGGTTTCAGTGGGCTGACTGTTTGTTCCTCTTGGGAGCAGCGGGTTCCTGCAGAGGCTGGATGACTGGGACCTAGTAGACAGAATTATTTTTCAGCTACCATTGGACTAGTGGGGCTTTGAGGCACCTTCCAACCCTGAGATTGATACTGTGATTCTGGAGCTTGGGTAACCCCAGTTTTAGGAAGAGTCCAGAGAGCCAAGTTTGTTGGGGTCTGGGAAGAGGAGTTACTGGGGCTTCTTTATTCATTCTCTGTCTCCTGGGCTCAAATTCCCATTCTTCTTTATGCTAGCTGTATGACTTTAGCTTAATCACTTCCTCTGTGCCTCAGATTCCTAATCTGTAAAAAGGGGGAATGGAGCCAGATGATATTTTAGGTCTTTTCCAGTTCTAAAACCTGTGATCAAGGGACACACACACACACACACACACACACACACACACACCCCTCAGGAGAATTTCTGGTTTGCAGTTAGTCTACCAACTAGGGCAAGACCTCTGTCACAGGAAGGATACTGCAGGTTCTGGTGTCCCATGAGCTGTGACTGTGGTTTCCTGGGGCATGGTTGGTGTTACGGGGAAAGCCAGAAGGAAGGAGTTGTGAGTCCCTCTGGGAAGGTATCCTCACTCATTTTCTTTCCACCTTGGGATCCCTTCCCATCATGGGGTGTGTAACACCATCTCTTGTCACTTCCAGACCTCTGCCTCTGGCTTAAGGGTGCCAATTTTCTGTTTCCTTTTAATGGAATCTACAAACAGCTTCTGACAACCTGAATTACTTTATAGAAAAGGGAGGCCAAGTGTCTTTCCTCTCACCAAAGAGAAAAAAGTGACAGCTGAAAGAATTTAGGCTAAATAGAAGAGAGATCTTATCACGGCCCTCAGATTAAGAGGCAGAAAAGACCTTAGCAACTATCAAGCCCAACCCCCTTCTTTTACAGATAGGGAAACTGAGACCCAAAGAGGTAAGCAACTCGCCCAAGTCACACCACAAGTGTCTGAGGTGGATCTGAACCTAGGTCTTCTTGATTCCAAGTATAATACCCTAGTCTACACCACACTGTCTATCCAAAACCTTCTGAGGTGGAATTCAAATCAGCTTGTCAAGAAGTGCCCTATGACTCTATTTCCACCTTCCTGATGGAGTAAAGACTGTCAAACACTGAAGGAGGTGCTTGGGGTTGGGGGGAGAGTGCTCTCTGCCTGAAGGTCTTTAAAAACTGTGCTGTCGATGAGTCTTGGCCCCTTCTGTTTCAGTTTCAGTTCAGTCGATCAATCAATAAGCACTTATTAAGTATTTACTACATGCCAGGCACTCTGCCAAGCTCTGGGGATAAAAATACAAGTGAAAAGAAAGATTAGCTCAGGTTCTTAAATGTCCCAGACAGGGAGTGGACATGGTAGAGTAATAGCAACTGTTGTGGAAGGAAAGGAGGTTAGTGGGGTACCTAGAGCTGGGCTCCCATGGAAAATTCCAGGAGTTCCAGTGGAGCAGGTAGGCCTCTTTCAAGCTCTGAACAGCCTTTGAAACTGCTCAGATCCATCTTGGGAACACTGTCCCCCAACCATCCCTCCCTCTGTCTGCATTCCCTCCTGTCCACCATGTTATAGTCACACCTGCCATCATGGGGAAGAGGTCAGGGTTAGAAGTCAGAGGACCTGCGAGGGAGTGCCAGCTCAGCTGCTTACTACGTGTAGAACTTTGAATAGGCCTTGTCCCCTCTCTGAGAATCAGTTTCCTCAGCTGTCAAATGAAGGACTAGTCTCAAGGGCTGTTTCCTGGGGGTTATGCTTCAGCTCACTCTGCCCAAGGCTTCTCAGGTCTGGATTAGACAGAATGGCAACTTTCAAGGGCAAGGGATACAGCCCCTACTCTGTCCTCTCCTCATTCATCAATCTTCACTCTGATGCCAGGAAGAATTCATCTCATGGGGATGGATAAAGGCCCTGCTCCCAGAAGGCAAGAGGAGACTCCCCCTACAAGTCCCCTTTGCAAGAGTGAACATGAGCACTGACATTCATACTCAGACTGAAATCCATGAGATCAGATCTCTGGGGAAGAGGGGAAGGTGAGAGAGGGGCAGAGAGCACAGGACAGTGGACTCCTGGAAGTGGAAGAAAAAAGAGGAAGCCCTGAGCTTCTTGGCTTCCATGGTCTCCAAAAGCCAATGATTTCACGATGTCTAAGGTTCCCTCCAACTTTGAGATTCTATAACTCTGCTGTCTTATGAGGTCGCACAGTCTGCTGGCTCTCAAGGGATGGGCAGCACCTCTATGAAGTGTGTGTGTGTGTGTGTGTGTGTGTGTGTAGGGGAGATATCACCATCTTCCAAGTCAGACATTCACAAAAGGGGGAGCATACCCAAGGTATAGGGATGGGTATACCAGGTGGGCTTTGTAAAGACTGGTTGGTTGAGAGAGACAGAGAGAGAGATCAAGAGGGAGGGAGAGAAGGGGAGAGTGAGGGAGAGAGAGACAGAGAGAGGAAGAGAGACAGGGAAGGGAGGGAGAGAGAAAGAAAGAGGGGGACGGAGGGGAAGAGCGAGAGAGAGAGAGAAGGAGTTGGGGAGAGAGAGAAAAAAAAGCACCTTCATATTCATTTATTAGCAAACTTATTAAACACCTATAATGTGGCAAGCATTGCACTAGGTACTGGGGATACAGTGAAACACCCCCTGCTCCTGAGAAGCTTATGTGCTATAGGGAAAACAACATAAACAGATAAAATACAAAATACATAGTCCACCCCTCCAGGCTTGGAAAAGAGAGGGAGGGGACACTCGTGGGTCCCTTCTGTTCAGGGGACAACTTCCCAATATCTCACGGCTTTTACTGGTTCTGGCCTCCAAGACTGCCCGCCAACCTGACTCAGTTTCCCTTTCTCTCTCTGCAGTCCTCCTGACTGGTGGCATTGTGGCAACCGCTGGGCAGTTTGTCTGGTGGCAGTTTGGTGCCTACTCGATGTATCCTTCTCCTACATTCCCACCCCATCCCCCAACCTTGCCTGTCGCTCCATTCCTGGCCCCTAAGGGCCTGCAACCAAACCCAATAAGGAGTCCTGAACTTTGAGCTTCATTGTTTGTCAAATGTTACAGGAAAGTTGATGCAGGATGGGAAGTAAATCACCGAGGGGAAGGGAGCATCCTATCATCATCATAACATTAATAATGCTCATTTCCATAGGGTTTTGTAGGCTTGCAAACTTCTTTTCTCCACAATGCTCTAAGGCAAGGGATACAAATGAGATTCTCCCCATTCTACATGTGAGCCCTGGAAATGAAGTCAGAAACCCTGGGTTCAAATCCTGTTTCTAGAAGTCACTTGCAAACAAAGCAATACCAGCAGTGAGTCACTTCATGTCTTGGGCCTCCATTGGACTAGATGGTCTGTAAGAGCCCAATTTCAGCCTCTAATTCTACGAGGAGACTAAGCCAGAAAAGGCATTTGGGCATGAGAGCACTCACTGAATGCCAGAGCCAGAAGGGGCACTGGAACAATGATTACAACCAGAAGGGACCTTAGAACATTCTTTCTTGAGGTCATGGAGCTCTTTGGAAGCTCAGTCTGGCCTTTTCTCACAACACACCCTTGTCCCTCTGAAGGGAGGGGAAGTCTGTTGTGAGTGAGGCCCCTTGTAAGTGCTTGGGGGTGTGGGGGGCAGGCCTTGGTTTTCCTCAGTCTGGTCAACAGTGAAGCTTCCTGTTCTTTTTTGGGCTGCGTCTCTGTTACTGCCCTGCCTTGGAGGCCTCGGCCAGAGGACTAGGGGGATGGGAGCTGGAATCATCTGCCAAATCCTCTGTCTCGGGTCTGGGGCTAAAGCCACGAGGGAATCTTGATGCCTGTGACTCTTATGTGATGGGTGAAAACTTTCCCAGAACTTGTAACAAATAGGAATCAGAGAATACCAGAACTAGAAAAGGCCTTAGAACACAGAATGTCAGAGCTGGGAGGGCCCTTAGAACACAAAAGGTCAGAGCTGGGAA